TTGGTTTATTTGATCAAGATTAAAACAAGATATGTTGTTCCTTCTAGCACTTTCTGCTGACACCAGGACTGGAAATATGATGTTTCATGGATTGATAAGAGATGGAATACTAAGCCTATTAGTATCAATAAGCCTATTGATAAGAGATGGAATACTGGATGAAGAGATAATTAATTGTAACGTTAGAGGGGGCGAAGAGTCACTAAATTTGTTTATATTTGTTGTAACAAAGACTGGAACTTACTTCTTTACATATTTGCTTTCTCTCTATTATATTCTTACTTTTCTCTTTTTCTTTCCTTTTTACTCTTTCGCTTTTCTTCTCTTTAACTTTAGTTTGTAATAGATTAGGGTTAGGGTTAATATTTATTATTAACATATAAATTATGTTTCAAATTATGTACTTTCAAACTGATACCTGTGGAAGTATCCATAATGAATAGAGAAATCTCATCTTCTTCTTTTCAGTTGCAGGCTATCCAAATGCATTAAAATATATATGTGAGTTGCTTTAAACTGGATTATTCTGTTGCTTAAATTAGAATCACTTAACTTAGTGTCAACGCTCCAAAGTCTTACACTTGTGCTTGAGCTATTCAAATAGAGAAGTACAGAAGGGAATCAGAGACTATTGAATAAAAACTTATATTTTCTTCTTCTGATTTTTTATCAGAAGATTGTAACTAATCTTCTGAAAGAAAAAAGATGGGTTGTAAGTTGTGTATTCAATATGAATACTTTTTAGATAACTAAAACTACCTGGAATACAATAGCACTTTGTTTCCTGCCAGTTAACATGCTATTAGATCAGCTGAAATGTTAAGGAAGGCAAATCACATAAAAGAGGCTAGGTTATAATTTTGGTGCTAGGCAAAGGACTTTTATTTCTCTTCAAGAGTCTGCAACAAAAGTAAATTTGCTTTAGCTCTTGAATTTAAGTCTTCACTTTCAGATTTTTCACACTTTAAATCAACAAATGTAACGTTTTAAAAGTTGAAGGAAAAATAGCTGTGTTAGTCTTTTTGAAGCAAAAACAATTGTAATTCTTTAAAGTGTATAAGACTCTCAATCAAATGCATTATACATTTTGTGAACCATTATCAACAAGAGTTTAGATGATCACTATGTTAGTGTTTAAAAAGCTACAAGACTTTATCCTATGTGTCCAGTCTGCTGAATGAGCCTTTTGATATCTAAAAAGAACAAGCATACACTTTTGTCTTGTCCCAATTCTTGTAACACCAGGACATAAGAATTACCTCAAGGCCACTATGTTCTCCAGACTACACAGTCTCCTTAGATATACTTCATGCTGCTTCTCGGTCACTGCTGTAAGATGGTTAAAGAAACAAGGCTTGTATGCTCCTGTATGCTCCTAATAAACTTACCTTAGCTATTTATTATTCTTATTGAATAGCATCCTGCTGGTCATTTGTAAATTTGGCTATTCTGCCTTCTTTATTTCAAAGCTGGCTATGGAAAATGCATATAGAGCTATCGAAAATCTTTATAATTTATTTTTCATTTGAAAATTCCTATAAAGCCACTGAATCATCACCAAGTTGCACTACATGTTAAAAGTCAGAGTTGCAGAAATCCTACCTTGTGTAGACCATAAAATGCTTACAGGCATGGAAGCCACATCCTTGATCTTTATCCAGCTGTTGTTGCGCTGTCTGCTCCATGAAGAAATTACACAATAATAATCTCCTCGATCTGTTTCAGAAGTCCACTGGATTCGTAAGCGGAAGGTGTCTACCCTTGGTTTAGAGAAAATAATTTCTCCATTCTGAGCACGTTGTTTGCTTCTCTCCCCAAGTACTAGTGTCCAATCTGCATCCATAGTGGCCAGAAGTTCATATTCTACCACTTCATCACTGCGTGTGGGCATCCTATAGTACCAGGACACAGTGAAACGAACATTTGTCTCGGTGTTTTGTACCTCCATGATCATACATTCAAGCTCTGTGGGATCCTCTGAAAACAGGGGTGTTTTAGAAGCGTTCAAAAACACATAGTAATTTGGCTCTGTGTAGGTTTTGGAAAAACAGAAAGAAAGCCGAAGTAACAATTAAAAGTATGAAATAGAACCAATACAGAATACAGATCATATTTTCACATACAGCATTATTTTAAACTGCAAAGGTTCTTTAGTATTTCTCTAGTCATTGCATAGTATTTGGATAGAGCCATCAGCTAGCGATGTCAAATTCTTCATGGCATTATTTGGTAGGGACAAACAGAAGGCAGATTCTATAGTACAATTTTATTAATCTGGTTATTTTTTAAAATAATCACACACAAATGCATAAAACATCCTTTCATTTTGGTCAAGAGAAGAAAAAATAAAAATCTGTTTAGAGGCAATTCCTTTATTAAGCCAACTGTCTGTTTCAAAACTGTATACATTTTTAGTTTCCAATTAATTAAGGAGTTGGTGATTAAGTTTGCTATGGAACTTTAAAGCTTTAACACTATCTTGTAAACCTTCAGTTGATTTAATAAATATATTGATTCAATATGTGCAAAAACTTCCATAAAATTCAAAATATTCTGAACTTTGCATTTCAAAATGAGAAATCTGTCTGGGCATTGTATGATACATGCAAGGTAAGAAATCAACATTATGGATTATTATGCCCAGAGTGTATCAGATTTTTTTGCAGAGTTTTAATTTTGCTGTTGACTTCCAATGCCATATTAACAGAGGAAAATACCAACCACACAAGTAAATGTTAGACAGTAGCACACCTTGACTTACTCATGATGCTGAATAGCTCTGAAATAATATGAAGATGCACTAAGTGAATCTAACAACTTTTAAAGTTGAAGTATGTCTGAAATATTGTGGTGATCATATGTTTAAAGGAATTTTGATTCCTCCTACTCTTAGCAACTAAATTCAGATATTAAAGTGGACAAATATGTATGAGGCTCTGGTATAAATCACTAGAGTTGTTGCAGACAATGTTGGAGTTTACTGAACCAGATAGTTTCCAACATGGAAACATGAATAACTGCTTTCTGCTCTGATAAGAATGAGAATAAAGTTGTAGGGAAATGAAGTTTTAGTTAACCGCATCAATATTTGGAAGGTCTATAGAGGTGGATTGCTAGGCAAAGTTTTGACTTTGAGAGTAAAGCTCCAGCTATGCTCTTAACACTGACTCTCCGACTGAGGATTTAGAAGGAAGGAATAAAAGCTTGCTGGATAAGCCTCATTCCTGCACTCTGTCAACTGTCAAAGAACAGCCTTGCTGACAGTTCAGTGACTTAATACCCTGCCAAGCTCTCAAACTTCAATCAAGGAAGAGCAGGAGGCTGCTGATGAAATTTGGATACAATTTATGTATCTCAGATGATGAGAATTCCTCTCCCACTTTACTCACCCCCAGGCAATACAAGGTCATTAAAAAAATACTTTTATCCTTTACCTTCACCTAAACCCAAGTAATAATTGTGATATAAAGAAGCAGAAGTTCCCACTGGCTGTAGACAACATTTCAACAGCAGAATAGAAGTCTCCTGTTTAAGCCAGCTTGAGAGTAAGGAGACTACAAGATAATATTGGAAAGAGAATTATACTGGAAAATAGTTGTACCTCTTTTTAAAAAAAAAAAACTTTTTTTTTTAGATTTTTTATCTCGCCTTTCTTATTTTTTACAAATAACTCAAGGTGGCAAACTTACATAATACTCCTTCCTCCTATTTTTCATACAACAACCCTGTGAGGTGAGTTGGGCTGAGAGAGAGTAACCCCGTTGTATGCAGCCAAGTGGATTAGCCAGCAGAGAGAGAGCATGAAATGCTCCATCTTTCCACTGTGCCCACACAGAAACCAGCAGACCTCCAGAGAAGTTTCCTTCTTTTCTGTGCACTACTAAAATGTGGAGAGTTGCTGCATAAAGGCTAGAATGCCTTGCTTCTCCAACTGTCAGTAAGACAGCAAGGCTACCTCTGTTTTAAGAATTTGCAGTCTTCATATGATAGCCTCTAAGTACTGTTGTATTTAGTGTGAAGTATGCCTTCTACATGAGAAAAGAGGGACAAACTTATTCTCTTATCTCCATGTACATTAAAAAAAAGAGAGAGGGAAATTAGGTCATTTTCCTTTTTGGATCTCTCCTTCAAATCTTATTTATTTATTTATCATTTCAGTTTCAAGATTCTGAGAGGCTTACAATTAAATATCAAAAAGAGTACAACATATATCAAAGAAAAAGAATACAGTGGACAGTGGACTGAAAGACAGAACCAAAACCTAAATTTTAAAATTTGCTTAACTCATTTTTCTTTCACTAACCTTAAACCTATTAGATAGTAGAAGGATTTGCACATAATGTGGCTAGTTATTTTGGCATTTATTTATTTGTTAGATTTACATCCTGCCTTCCTTCCAGAAAATGAAGATAACATACATAATACTCCATATATATAACACTCCATCAACCAATTTTTCCCATAATATTTTCTGAGGTAGGTTGAACTAAAAGAAGGTTGCTGGCCAAAAGCTGCCAGTGAGCTTCTATGGCTGAAAGTGGACTTGAACCTGGGTCTCCCCACTCCTAGTCCAACATCTTAATCACTGCACCAGACTAGTGCAGTATTATATGCAAAGCTATTCCTAGAAATAAGATATAACATACAAATCCTGGATGAGTTCATCAGACACCATGCTAAATCAGAATCAACTACCCACATTACAATTTAGCATCACAAATCTTAGTGAACTTAAATGAGATGTTCTTACAAGTAAATACAACTAATTACACAAATACTACTGGACTGTCTTAAGGTATCTTGGACATTAGTGCAAGAGCCAGTCCAGTCCAGCTTTGTCCTTTCACTGTTTCAAAAGTTGTCAGGAATCATCTGGCTTATAACTGCAAAGTAAAAATGAAGAAACTTGATTTTTTAAATTATTCTAGAAGAAATGCTGGTATATCAAGGAAAACTTTACAGAACCACATGGTCTTTACTAAAGTATGTATGCGTTTCAGTATTTCTTCTGCTTGAATGTTATTTTTTTAGAATATTTGCAGAAAAAAGCAGGATTTCAGCAGCTTAACAGTCCAGTTCAGGAAGTATAATAAAAATTATTAAAAACACAGTATTCGTATAGTTACAGCAAAATACTGAAACTAGAAAAGTAAAAACAATGGAGGTTTTTGGCTATACAAGTTTGAGATTCACCCAATTTTCTTTTTATACTGTGTAATACCACTTTGCATTTCTGTTTCATCAAATATCAGAAACAGATTTCAAGAACTATATGAATTGGAATGAAAACGTAGTTTCATTCCAAGATGAAAACCCCTAATGGAAGACTAAATTGGAAAATAATATCTGCCTTTTCTTACACTATGTTTCATTATCCAAGGATAAAATAACATATAAGCAACTTAGAGACAGGAAAGTGTCAAGACAAACAATTGACTAGACTGGTTGAGATCTAGTCTACCATGTGAAATTGGCACAAGATACTATCTACTGTTGAATAATTTGCAGATATTCTATAATCTTGGTCTCTCTAAACATGAATTAGTAAAATTGAACTCCAAACATTTGAAAAATACAAGATGCTGATTGTGATAAAGATACAAATGAAACTAAATGAATAACTTTTACTCCCAAATATCTCTGAACCTGAACTGAAAAAATGCTGCTGAGAACAGCATAAATGAGAAACAGAAGGAAACAGCTATCATTCATTCATTCATATGTATATATGTATGAAATAAATAATCTCTTTCCCAGCTACATTGCTATAAAGGTGTGATTAAATTAACTATTGAAATATGTGTCTCCAAAACATGGCCTAACCTATCGTTCCTTTGTTTGTAGAGAGGTTTTTAATGCTGTTGATTCAAAGACAAAGAGCACTAAGTGATAGTAAGAGTTAATCAATTTCAAAAGGTAGAGATGTAATTCAAGCAAAAAATGTAATTTAGATGCATTTATGTGCTGCTTTCTATATCACAGTAATAGTTAAGTGACTGTTGATTATGAACTGCTAGAAAATTTCAATAGTTTAAAACATTATTACAATTATTCATTTTCAGATCTCCCACCTCAATTGGACATCTCTAGGCAGCTTATAAACCCAAATTGTAAAACAATAAAAATTAAAAAAAACCCATAACTCCTCATCATAACACTCATAAAAGAAATCAATACAAAATTAAAATAAACATAACCAATGAGATGCAAGCAAAGCACAGATGTTTATCTTCAAATGTTTCTCATATCATCCATGTTTTGATATGGACACCTTTTTTCCAATCTAAACATTAGAAAAAAAACTGTCACCACTGAATGGCCTATCTTTTTTAAAACTGTGAAATGAACACAGAAAAAGAAATTAATCAATTATTATAGCATAATGGTTGGCCAGCTAATACCTCCAGATGTTTAATTCCCATTAAAATCAAATAATAACTCTGTCATCATTTTCCACAGAAGGTACACCCCAATATTCAGAGAGCATCCAAATGAATATAGGCCAGATATGAATCAAAAAGAAAACATCTAGGAATAATGAAAGCTACTTCCAAGCTGTTGCCAAGAACAAGAACTTCTATGCAGTACCCATACAGAGACCAGTAGCTAAGCTTAACTCAAAAGCTTGTTTACCTTCATATCCAATTACTCACCCAATGTCACCACTTCCACAGTGACTGGTACTGATGTCTTCTCTACTACCTTGTGCCAGCTGCCATTGTGTTGTGGCACCCAAAGAGCTGCTTGACAGTAGTAGTAGCCAGAGTTTTCAGTGCCTACATCATGCACCAATAGGTGGTAATTGCTTCGATCTACATGACTGGGGCTGATGAAGGTAGAATCACTAATTACCAAATCACGGTCTGCACTCAGCAAAACCTGAGCCTCTGCCATGGTGTCATCTGGAGATTCACTGAAGTACCATGTGATTTCTGTTTGGAAAATACCACTTCTATCTGTTGTAAAGTTGCAGGTAAGTTCAAAGGAATCTCGTTCCATCACAGATATATTGCTTTTGGTAATGAACACATCTAAAGCTGAAGAATTGGAGTAGGGGATAGAGGAGACAAGACCAAGGATTACTGTTAACTTCCAAGTGTTACTCGACTTCTAGTTCAGCAACTGTATTCCTGTCAGTTTGTACAAGTGCATATAATTAGTGACATACACATTAGTATTCATAGGCAAACAGATATGTATTGCTTGTCTAGAGTATACAAAAGGCAATCTTGATTGAGCCTGAAGCAACCTGATGAAACACAAATTGATCAGTTTGCCACAACCACAAATGCATGTGTAAAAAATGGATGAAATACTGAAGAAAAGAGCCACCTTGCCAACCATTAACCACAGGGGTGGCTTTGCAGTTTTGTGGCAATCTCTGACCCATGAAATATTTTGCACATAGAAATAATTCAACTGATTCAACTAAATACCAACTTATCTTATAACCTGAGAGTCTTCAATCAGTGAAAAAATTGAAACTGAAAAGAAGTTGGCTATTTCAAGAAAACAACAATTTGAAATGTTTCTCCAAATCAACCACAAAAGTACTTACAAAAAATAAAAGTCCCCAGATGTGAATATTATTGAAAATCTGTGGAGAGGTTCAAACATAGTGTGCATGCAAAGAGACTGAAGAATATTTCTGAACTAAAAGAATGAGAAATAATGCCAAAAGCAAGAATAGACGTCTCAGTTAGCTACAGGAAATATCTGGAACCTGTTATTTCTACAAAAAGGTTTAGGCTTTTGTACTTACTGTATTCACAGTTTTAGTCTGAATCTGTAAACAACTGTATATAAACACTAAGCATGCATTCCAAGTTGCATAAAAAATTGTGTTTAACTTTGTACCATGTAGAGGCTGTATCAGCTTCTGTTCATTTAGTGATTCATGAAACATTTAATTTTATCAGGGTGCCTAAACGTTTGCATGAAACTGAATGAGCTTGGAGGACAACAATGCAAATTTTGCAAACATCATCATTAAACCAAACCTGTACTTGAAATCATAAATGTTCTATGATATTTAAAAGATTACAACCATTTTCTGTGCATACTTCTAAATATGTCATCATCTGACTTGCCAAGAAACCAACTTGCTTAATTCTTCACCACACAAAATGAAAGCTGTCTATTGTTCCATGTTGCTGTTTGAATCATGGAAGACTGTATTGGCCCTTTATTACAGTACTGAATGTATACACTAACCTCCTGACCAAGAACAATGCTTAAATTATTTATGAAGAAATATAGTACCAAATAAAAAAGTTAAAAACAGAAAAAATGTAATTAAGATACCACTAAAATATCGGCATAGTAGACCTCACCCAAAATAATTAAAAGTTCAGCCCAGCAGCCAGTCCTGTTAGTCATAGAATGTCTGCCTAGATACAAATGCCTCCCAGGGAAGGATAAAATAAAAGCAGCTAGCCTGAACTCTTTTAGGGCGGAGTCCCAAAGCTTAGTAAATTTCGTAACAGAGATTATTCTCCTGCAGCTCTTAAAATATGAAACAGTTAATCTCAATTGAACTTTTAGGTAAAATATTTTTTGGAGAAAAACAGAATTAAACTCAAAGTGAGGACATTTTGAATTTGTGCCATACCAATTCACAGAATTATACAGTCACGGGGTTGTAAGGGACCCCAGACGTCTTCTAGACCAGCCCCCTGCCCAAGGCAGGAATCCTCAGCACATCCCAAGCAAAAGGCTGCCCAACCTGTGTTTAAAAACCTCCAGTGATTGAGCACCCATGCTCTTCTACTGTTTAACAACAATTGCAGTCAAGAAATCCTTCCCTATATCCTTCGAAAGTCTTTTTATATCTTTTTCCTTATACAGTCAGGTCCAGAAATATTGGGACATCGACACAATTCTAACATCTTTGACTCTATACACCACCACAATGGTGTAATTCCTACACCGTTCACCTGAGTTGGATGTACATACCCTCAAATTAAAGCTGACAGTCTGCAGTTAACGCACATTGTGTTTGTTTCATTCCAAATCCATTGTGGTGGTGTATAGAGTCAAAGATGTTAGAATTGTGTCGATGTCCCAATATTTCTGGACCTGACTGTATATTCCTCTATAGGTGTAATTCCTACACCGTTCACCTGAGTTGGATGTACATACCCTCAAATTAAAGCTGACAGTCTGCAGTTAACGCACATTGTGTTTGTTTCATTCCAAATCCATTGTGGTGGTGTATAGAGTCAAAGATGTTAGAATTGTGTCGATGTCCCAATATTTCTGGACCTGACTGTATATTCCTCTATAGGTGTAATTCCTACACCGTTCACCTGAGTTGGATGTACATACCCTCAAATTAAAGCTGACAGTCTGCAGTTAACGCACATTGTGTTTGTTTCATTCCAAATCCATTGTGGTGGTGTATAGAGTCAAAGATGTTAGAATTGTGTCGATGTCCCAATATTTCTGGACCTGACTGTATATTCCTCTATAGGTGTAATTCCTACACCGTTCACCTGAGTTGGATGTACATACCCTCAAATTAAAGCTGACAGTCTGCAGTTAACGCACATTGTGTTTGTTTCATTCCAAATCCATTGTGGTGGTGTATAGAGTCAAAGATGTTAGAATTGTGTCGATGTCCCAATATTTCTGGACCTGACTGTATATTCCTCTATAGGTGTAATTCCTACACCGTTCACCTGAGTTGGATGTACATACCCTCAAATTAAAGCTGACAGTCTGCAGTTAACGCACATTGTGTTTGTTTCATTCCAAATCCATTGTGGTGGTGTATAGAGTCAAAGATGTTAGAATTGTGTCGATGTCCCAATATTTCTGGACCTGACTGTATATTCCTCTATAGGTGTAATTCCTACACCGTTCACCTGAGTTGGATGTACATACCCTCAAATTAAAGCTGACAGTCTGCAGTTAACGCACATTGTGTTTGTTTCATTCCAAATCCATTGTGGTGGTGTATAGAGTCAAAGATGTTAGAATTGTGTCGATGTCCCAATATTTCTGGACCTGACTGTATAAGGAAAAAGATATATCCATTGTGGTGGTGTATAGAGCCAAAGATGTTAGAATTGTGTCGATGTCCCAATATTTCTGGACCTGACTGTATATTCCTCTATAGGAAAAGTAAAAAACCTAACTTAACAGCAAGTAAGACTTACAATAAAAATGTGATCATAAAGTAAAATGAATCAAAGAACATTCCAATATGTTATTTTTTTTCCTACTGTGTATCCTTCATGTTTAATATTCAGTTTGGACTGCGATTTCATGGCACATGAAACACCAATAAGACAGTGAGCACTATTAGTACATTACACCATCCTAAGCTATGCAGGAAGCAGTCGTCATGACTTTTCAATCAGTGCCAATTTTTCATCCTGTGACTGTATATTATATACCATATCTATTGTATTACTACAGCAAAAATGAGTATTGCACTTACATGTTGGTTTCACTACCAAATTTACTACATCAGCAGTCTTCTCTTGGATCTTTTGCCATGAACCATCTGCACCTTTAACCCACTCACTCACTCGACACCTATAGGCACCTTCATCTGTTGGAAGAGCTTGGGACACAGACAGGCTGTAAATGTCATTAGCCATAGCATCTAAGCGCACGTCCCCATTGATATAGCGGTCATTGTACTCTAAGCCAGTCCGGAACTTGCCCTCATGTGTCAGGGAAAGGATTTCTTGCCAGGCATGGTCACTCTTGAATTCCCAAGACACTTGCAGATGGGTGTGTTCGGTTGAATTGGTAGAAGCTGAGCAACGTAACTGAAATGCATCTCCTTCTGATATGTTCCAAGTTGATGAAGAGTAGAGGTTTGATCCACTAACACTTAAGCCATCTGCAATCACTATTTAGAAAAAAAGAGAATCATCAAGCATGCAGATTATAATAGATGGCTTTCCATAAAAATTATTCTGAAACTGTCAAGCTGTGGATAGCTTGTCATAAAAGGAATGACTAATTGCGCTAATGAATATGCTGAAACCAAACAAATAAGTCATGTCACAAAACATAAACAAGATGGAGTTTCAAATACCACACTCTTCTCCTCCATTCAATCTTTTGAGCACTACAAATGCCACAAATTCCATTTCCAAGTACCAATTTCAAGTATGTGGACATTTATTTATTCATTTGATTTATATAGTCGCCCATCTCAGTTTTACATGACTCTAGGCAGAGTCACTGGATATGCTGCATGGCACTGACAGTGTAGTATATTGGTTAAAGTGCTGTATTAAGGACAACACTAATTAACTGAGTTCAGTGGATGAATTTGGGCCAGTCACACAAAGAACAATCACATAGTTACTGTTGTAGGAATAAAATGAGGGGAAGCCCTACATACATTGCCTTAGACTCCTGAAAAAGATAGTTGCTGTATTCATATGTTTTAAATGTTAAAATATCTTGGCCATTTAATGTTATTAGAGCTTCATGTGGGTCCTGCTAATGTATAAAGAGAATCTGAGTGTACAAGTAACACTGAACTTCTCTACCTGTTTCATTTATTTCATTAACAAACTTATCCAACATAAGTTGTCTCAGTGAGAAAAAGTAATTGCTCCCCTCCCACAATTCAGTAACCAGTTCTATGACCTTAATCTGCAATAACTGCATCAAAACACTTCCTATAACTGGTGAACAGTCTCTTGCATTGTTGGATAGGAATTGTGGCCTATTCCTCCATGAGGAACTGCTTCAACTTTGTAACATTTGGAGATTTATTAGTGTGAAAAAATAATTCTCTCTCTAGTTCAATCAATACAGTTTAAGGGATAATTAGGCCCAGAGTTAGGGTTGTGTGAATGCTTCATTAAACATTCAGGGATGATTTGGGCCAGCCCTACCCTATAAAAATTTCACAGATTTTGGCTCACCTCATCACAGTGAGTTTCTTACGACTCATACTCTAGAGGAATAGCATGTCCAAGTAAAAAAACATTTATGAAGACCTCTGTAAAATATCATTGATACTATGACATTAAAAACCATTCCTAAATATCTGGGATTATATTGATCCATAGCAGCAAGAGTCCATTTGGGTCAATAGTGAATCTTCCCAAGAGTGCCTGTCAAAATTATCTGAAAGCACAATATGAAATTATCCAGGAAGTCACAGCATCCAGAGATTTGCAGACCTCTGTTGCCTTTGCTAAAGTCAGTGTTCATGACTTCAGAAAAACACAAAGTAAAAATGAGATTTATCAGAGAATTAAAAGCAGAGGGCATGCGTCACTAATAACACTGATGTTCACATCTCAAGCATGCCAAGAAACACCTGGATGACCCTCCAAGACTTCTAAATATTTTATGGACAGGTGAACTAAACATGGAAGTTTTCAGCTATGAGGATATTGCTATGTCTAGTGGAAATCAAATACTGCATTCCACAATAAGAAAATCATGCCAAGTGTCAAACACCGGTAGTGTTAAGGCTTGGGGAAGCTTTGCTGCCTTGGGACCTGGGTGTCTACCCATCACTGAAGGAAGAAGGAATTCTGTTTCGTATTGAGAATTCTACAGATGAATAACAGAACACTTGCCTGACAACTGAAATGCAGTGGGCCATGTAGCGATTATCCCAAGTATAAAACAAGTCTACAAGAAAATAGATGAAGAACAAATTCACTGTTTCAGGGGAACCAAACCAAGGCCTATATATATACATAAATGAGGAGGACTTGAAATGAACAGTTCATGATATAAATTGAGGTTGAAGAGGTTTGCCATGAAAGAATGGCTCAAAATATTTATTCCATGATGGGACAGACTGATAACCAATCACAGGAAGCATTTGGTTACAACCATTTATTGAATCTAAGGAGGCAATCACTTTTCCATACCGGCACATTGCATAATAGATTACTCTGTATATGACATAAATCAAACAAGCACCATATTTTGTGTTATTTATATACTAGGACTGCCGTTTATACATATAATTGTATTCAAACCTTTAGGCAACCATGGGCAAAGGTTGCTGAATGAATGAATCCCTAAGTAAACAAAGACACAACTTCTACATAGTACAAAGCTAAACGTGACATCTTTTTGCAAATCTGATTGCACACTTCCTATTTATATATAGTACTAAGCATAAACATTTGGAGAAAGATGTCCTGTTTAATTTTGCACCATGTAGAGGTCATTAGCTTCTGTTGACTTTGGTATTCCTTGTGGAATACTGTGTGAAATGTCTTGGGTATAAAATATAAATGGTCTATGAAGAGATTTTAAATTTATATACGGTATATGCTTTATAAATGTACACATCACCATCCAAAAAGTGATATTTTTTAAAATTACACTAAACTCGCTACCAATTGTAAATACCCTCACCCTGTAGAAGTACCTTTAACTTCAACTACGTCATTGTAATTTCCCTGGAAGACAGCGTCTGTGCTTGGTGTAGTGCATCGATACATCCCTTGATCAGTAGGACGAATATTTCCAATCACAAATTCCACAGCACTGTTGCTATTTCGCCTTAATGTGATTTCTTTTCTACTAACCCGATCTTGATATTCCTGAGACATAAACCAAGGGTCCCAGGTACTCAATATATGTACAAACTTAGAGTCCTGACCAAGATTTGTAGAGAACTCCCAATCAAAGTTCTGCTCACTAGGTCCATCGTACTGACTAACATTACATGGAATCACCACTTCAGTTCCCTCAACTCGTATTAGTGGTCCTTCAGGCACCTTCACAATACGACCATGGCAGGAAACTGAAAGAAAAAAAAATTGTGAATTAAAAAATTAACATTTAAGAAGATGCAGAAAAGTAAAATAAATACTACTGCATGACATCTAACAGAGGTCATACATTTGTTGGAGAACTGGGAGACAAAGAGTGTCAGGATGTATGCATGCATACATAAGTACACACACACACCCCAATATAACAATCAGGAAAGCTTTAATAAGTATATATATTTTTATGTGATTTGTAAACGCACATGAAGCGCAAAAAAGGACAAAAAATGAAGTTGAAAAGGTTATCCTGAAAGATATAATCCTTCATTGCAGTAATTTAAGTTAAATTTTAAGCATTTTAAGGGTTTAAGTCTATAAATGGACAGTTACACTAGGCATATAAAGCTGCAGTATTAATTAAAGCTGAACAGCAGAAAGCCATACAGACTGCAGAATTGCTTAGCTTTAACTTGGTTTCAGTGTTTAAGAAATGTACAACTCATTCCAAGTACCTTCATCCTGAACTGGTAGAAACTGGTCTTTTGAAATGAATTTAAGATTACATAGACATTTAGGGTAACAATCTAGGACACCATACATAAAATCTCTATTTTTATTTATTTATTAAATCAATTTATAGCTACCCATCTCACCACAGGCAACTCTGGGTGGCATACAACAAAGCTAAAAACAGTAAAATACATTTAAAATGTATAAAACAAAATAAAACAGAGAATAAAAGGAAGTTAAAAATAAGGGAGCCATCTCACTAATTCCCCTGTCCCCTGGAGTTCCCAGGCCTGCTGGCATAAGCAAGTCTTAAGGGACCTCCTGAGCATTTTGCTCCAATGCTCAAGGGTTCTCCTTTCACATCCATTCTTCCTATGTCAAAAATTGTCAAAAAATGGAAGATTTATTATAACATGGAAATACAGGGAATGTACATAACTTTCATTATCTTTGCTAGACACCAAAGTTGTTTTAAATAGCTATTTCTGGTTAGGATAGGCAAGACTCAATCTATATTACAGTCTACTTGTTCTGAAGACTAGGTATCTTCAGGAGCTACCAACTGACTTTGGCAGGCTCTCTTATTTCCTAAGAATGCTAAGCAAGCATTGCCTTTATTTACAGCTTAAGGTTTTCCATAAAAGGAAAGAAGTATTCCAGCTGCAGAGACTCTGTTCAATTTCAACTTCTAAACAAAATCATTTAAACAAGTGATCCCACTCCATCATAAATCCATTCCTAATATACATTTAGCTTAGCTTTCCATAATGTTGGAGCACCAGTAGGAACCCCAAATGCTGAAAGAATCTTTTTTAAAAAATATAGATTTCAGCATTAAAGTATGCAGTAGTCACTGGCCTCTCCCCTTAAACCATAACTCAAAACAGGCTGAAGCAGATATAAACTCTTGGATTTGTACAGGAAAACTATATAATGAAAATATGGCAGGCCAATATGACACCACATTTTTTCAACCTCATGAAATGAAAAGACAGCCCTGTTAAATGAGAAGAAAAAAAATCTATATTGAAGCAATACCTTTAATCAGCCAATTGAATGTTTACAAAATAGTTTCAAACACTCACATTTCCAACAATTCAGCATCAAATGTTTTATTTATCTGAAAGGAAAATTAGTTCCCCTCCCCTCTTCCAACAACTCTGCCTTTCTGAATTTTAACCATTTTGCATTCTAAAGAGAACCGGTTTGGTTTAGTGGTTAAACAAAAGTGAGTGGGGTGACTTTGGCCCAATCATTCTTTCGCAGCCCAATCCACATCACAGAGTCACAGAACTGTTGTGGGGCAAATAGGTGGGAGCATTATGCACGCTGCCTTAGGTTGTACAAAATAAAATTGGGACATACATATACACATCTACTGCATTGTGAATTTATAAATTGTTTCAGTCAGAAGCCTCTAAGCACATACGACAGCAACAGCAAAGCTAATACAATAACATTATCTTGATCATTATCTAATTTCATACACTATCATCAGCAGACCTCCTAATATTCTCCTAAATCTTCTTTAAATTCAATAAAAGTCCAGTTTCTGATCAGCTTACATAACTTTATATACAGTATCTTTGAGAGTAAAGCTTTTGCGTTCTCTTCAAATTGTAAAATTAATTTCTCTATTATCAATAACTGTTTACTTGTCATTTGACTCTGGCTTAGAAACTAAATGTATTTGACTCTGGGCTTAGAAACTAAATGATGGTTCTAAAACCATTTTTAATTGTGTCTCTAGATTTTTAATTAATTGTTTCCCTGTCCTTTACTTCTTTATAGATTATAGATCCCTTAATTTATAAAGACCTACTCTATCCCAGTCTTTAAACTGAATACTCATGTCTTTACCAAAACTATAAAAGTTGGTAAATAAACAGTATCAGTGGAACAAACAGAACTTATTTCTGTGTCAGTGCTGCACAAGATATTTTGACTTACAACTTACATCAGTATAGCCCACTTGGTCATTGACCAAGCACTGTGGTAGCTGTTGTCCAAAGAGTGCAGAGGGGATAACTAATCAAGTGCATTACTACTGAATGACATCAGTTCTCAGTCAGGAATTCTGAGTCAGGGAACTTTGGCGTCTCTTTATGGCTGTCTTATGTGGTGAACCACTGAATTTGGATGTTGCAACATCTACTGAGCCATCTTAATACCTAAAACTCCAATTTAACTCTCCCTACATAGGCCAGTCTTTGGATCATCTCGTTAGGAAAAACTATAAGTGCACTTCAAGCTGAAGTTGTGCCTTCCTAAGAAGAAAAGTTCTCCTGAGTGTGTCTTGCTCTCCTGTCCAAAATCTCCTGGTTTATTCCTATGACTTATCCTTTTCTTCTCAGCCCCTGACATGCAAGCATAGGAGTAGTCCCAACCCTGATAACAAATATCCTTTTAATCAGAAATGTCAACCAATTGACTCCAAGACATTCAAATATGCACAGCATATGCTTCATTGCTAAGTACTGTACCTGTTGCAAACAGTATTTGACAATGACCCTTAATTCTTTCCATTCTGTAATTCATAAATTGCATCATCCATGGATCTCAATTACAGCCTCAATTTCACTGACAATAACAATGCAAGTCACGTATGATCAAGTTCCCATTCTGCTTGCCATCAGCAAAATATGCCAATATTGAAAAAACAAGAGAGTTTTCTGTAACTAATAAAACAAATTGCTACATCATCTTCACAACTGTATTTTTGTAATATTCTTTCCTAAGGGAACATCCAGCCAGTCACAAAGGTACATTTCATGAGGACATTTATTTCTACTGTGTATCTGTACAGAGCAGCAGAGTTAATGCTGTGGGAGTCTGAGGTAACTTCACAGTTCATGTTATACAGACAGCACTCTACTTACAAACTTTCGAGTTACGAACTTTCACCAATACAAACAAACCTGTTTAGAATTCCAACACCAAAAAGAAGAGAAGGCAGGAGAGCGATGTGGGAAGAGGTGCCCTATCTTCTGCTGCCAATGCAAGGAGTGATAGCCCACAGATTGTGGAAAGCACAGTGGGATGAGCCAGTGGAGCACAGTGTGCTATGTCGCCAGGAGAGCAGGTGGTGGCTCTCTGGGAGAAGGTGGTGGCTGTATGGGAGGTGCTGTTCAGGGTGGTGGAACAACTGAGGGAAGCAGAGGGATGAGCACTTCCTGGAAGGCACAGGATGCACTCTGCAGTTCACATTGGAAACTGCTGGCACTTGGCGAGGCCTGAAGATTGCAACCTCCCAATGTGCACTGGAAACTAACACTTTCCTGCCTTCTCCCATCTTCCTGGTACTATAATATAATAGTTCTTGATTATAATGAATAAATATGAAAACATTAAGCCTATAACATGTTTCTGAAGAAAGTTGTAAGAAATACGTCGCAGTCCAATTCATGGCTATTCAGGGGGGAAAAACCCACTATATTCAATAGTACCAACATCTCTAATACTTTTCAGGGTATTTATATAGTATCTTGCTGACAGTGTCCAAACATTTAATTTATGGGGTCCTCAGACAAATGCTTTACAATCTGCATGTATTTGAGAGAGAGGGAGGGAGGATGGATGGATGGAGACAGACAGACAGACAGGGACTGGATTACATTGGGCGGGGATGTCTTGGTAACACAACTGGAAAAAAAAAAAACAGAAGCATAGTTCTTTAGTACAGTATTAAAGTTTGTACTGCCAGGAATATCCAAGCACTCCCAGGTCAGATATGTACCTTAAATCTTGACTTTCACAATATTTTCCAACCATTCTTCCCCAAAATTGAAATAATAAAAACCCCATGCATTTTAAAGTCTTTTTTGCGTTATTGAAAGCAGTAATTATTCCTACAGAATCATTTATGAGAGGAATCTATCCAACAAGCTTAATCTCCTCCTGTGTTTTTAATTCAGACAAGAAGTAAATTATGTGGTGTGAGTGGAATTTCAGAGTGCAAATCCTGCTAATTATTTCAATTTTTTTTTTTTTTAATCTGTGCTCAGTCGTTACCGACTCTGCAGTGACTGCTTGGACG